GCAGAGGTTGAGCGAGATTTGCTTCGGTTTCCACACGTCGTGATATACGGAGCGTAACTAATCAAGAGATCTGCCCAATAATTATATAACAAAGCGTCCAAGTTAAAAGATGTCTGGGAAATTCCAAGAGGTTTTAGAAAAAGTTGGTAAGTGAAGCACGTCCATTACTTCTGTGGTCAGTGAGATCATAGAATAAGAAATCTAGACAGACTGCACAACGACTGCACGGCGGTGTACAATATGTACAATAACAAGTTTTTCGAATAGATGGTATAAATATAACGAAATGCTGAAACAAAAAAAGTTAATCCTATGCTGTTAGGTGTTATAATTAAACGCCGATATAATTTTGTCTGTTACATGAACACACGCAATACAATACGGTTCATCCAGTTTAAACCTTTGCCGGTGACCTGGTTGTATAAGCTGTGAGGCCATATTAACGCGCCATCTGTCGAAAGAAATGTGAATAACAACAAAAAATTCCCTTAGCGTTGTGCCAATCATGTCTCATTCAGTCATCAATTGTCACACCTACCAGTGTGAAAATGGTTGAAAGAAAAGTCAAAAGATTTATAGCTTGTAAAGCTTAACGAATACATGCACTGCCTTCCTATTCGTGTGGTTCGGCAAAAGAATTTTTTAAGTTAGAACAGTAGTATTACAAAAAAATGACCAAATAGGCAGGAGCAGCATAAATATATTCATTGAGCAGCACGTGGTGCAACAGGGGCGGGGTCATGTTATATTGTCTGTCAATCAAATCCCCGATGCTCTAGCAAATCTTAACATATACATGCATTTGGAGGGGGGGGGCAAATACTTTGATATACATAGCACTAAAATACTGAAATATTGGTATCAATGCAAGTGTAATTACACTAAAAACACGCACATATACATGTACGTTATACCTTGGTACTGTATATGTGCAGGTCAATAGGCGTACGCTTACCTTAGGCTAAGTTCGTCAAGGAATTCGGTAGAACTAACTCAACTAACTACACTAAATATTTCATTTGACTTTTGCCCTCTAAAATATTCAAATAGTGGCGAGTCTTCATAATCGTGACACTTAGGCTAACTGTCCTTATAAACCACTCGCAAGCACAGACTCTGGTACACTTTACAGTCACGAAGCGCCATGCCGATAGGCGTCGGCGACCATGAGCCTCCGTTTTCTCTCTCTCTCTGGAGTAATTTTTAGGGTTTCGTTGAAGGTCGGACCCAGGTTGTTATGCCGCCTAGTATCTTCTCTCTTTGTCTACTTCTGCTCCTTTGCCAAAAATCTTTCCTGTGGTTATGATGGCTTCCAGGTTGTCTTTTTTATGCAGTGTCCGATAAAAGTGTTTTGTCTATGTTATTGTACTTACAAGTCATCCGGTGGTTTCTGAAAGATGGAGTACATATAACATGAAAATACTTTCAAACAAATACAATGTATGTAAGCCTGCTAGTAAGACGTTAAATAGTTTTTGGGTAACTATGCCTTTGTCTCTCAACTGTAAAACTATCTCTGCACTTCACTAACACTTTATTAAATCTTTGATGAACATTGATTGATTCATGGGATAAATGTTAAAATAGTTATTGTTAATTATGTCTATACAATACTATACTAATTTAAGTCAATTGGATTTGAATGACGCACTAGTAGTTGTTTCTATCTTAATTTTTGTCATGGCAAAGGGCTGATGCGCAACACTGAACCAAGGAACTCTGTCCGGATTGCAAATTATTTTTAAAATAAAACCTTGATCCACTTAGAATTATGCGTATTACACCATAAAACTACGTTATCTAAATTATCCACAAATTGTCAACAGACAGTCAACACTCCCGATCCCGTGGGGAGTCTCCCGATTTGGGGAGATATCTCCCGAACTCCCGCTTCAGACTTAAAATTTCCCGATCTATCACGAAATAGTGCCGTCACGTAATTCCTTTCTCAGTATACTGATTGAAGTTAGTAATATGCAGTTAACGATGAGGAGAAAATGCCGAAATCAAAACCACGTCGGGTCTTGGTGTGAGTAAGCCGAACCATCATTTAAATCGTCGCTGCCTAGAAAGTATTTTTGTAATAACAACTTTTACAAGTAAACCTCTTCAGTTAACATTTAAATGAAGAACTTACCCCCCCCCCCCTCCGTCTTTGTTCGCCTTACTTGAAAAATGTCACAGTACCTACATGTAGATCAAATTTTGATTCAGAACGGACCTTCTTCCAAACCCCTGGCTACGTGCCTGGTTATCATAATACTTTCGATACATATCTTTTGATAAAACTCAATACAACTGATTCGCGTTGCATTGTGGGTTCTTAACCCGAAATGACCTCACAAAGCGGGAGGCCCCTTGAATAAAATGTGAAACAAGTTCTAAAACGTCGAAAGGTAAATTCATGGATAAAAATTAGTAATTTTGTCCATAGTAAAATTTACATTTTCCAGTTCAAGAAGAGTTTGAAGAGTGGCTCGAGAACAATAGTTTTATTTAAAAGACTGGTAAATTTGTAGGTATTGTAGACGCTCAGAGGGTGGGAAATGAGGCTCACATCATAATTGTAACCACTACTTGAGGTGTGCAAGCAGCTGCGCTACATGTATCCCCGATGACAGCGCCACGATGGACACTAAAATATCGAAGTGCGAAATTAACTTGTTTCAACTGTCGATTAAAACGGGCTATTACTATGACTAGGTTATAAAACAGCTGATAAAATTCTTAACAAGATATATTATCAATATTGTACATTAATGTCAAATACTGAAAGACTAATAATTAGAAATGTAAAGACGTATTTCGAGTCAATTAAAAAAAACGACCAAGTATAACCATATATACTGACAGTCAATGAAAATGCATCAGGAAACTTCCTTGTACTTTTTAACCGAGAATCGATTCCAACCATATAAACGAATACAAGTGCACTTGTTTGGGCTGACCACTCGGATGTTTAAAATTTCCGCTTCAGTGATTTTGTGGTCAGCTGTTACAAAATCATGTGTTTTTCCTGTCTCGTGATTGGTGTGAATTAATCAGGTTCAATATATGGTGATAAATTAAGCCTATTTAAGTTAGTCACAAAATCCAGTGTGACACATGACAAAAAAGTTCAGTAATGCCACGTCTGACACTGGAAGAGCGACTGCGGGCCCTGGGGATGCTGGAGGCTGGGCGGAACCAAAGAGATTTGATCACGTGACATTGCATTTTAATGATCTTTTCTGACCTTTATTTCACCTTGTGTGACTGAATAAGGGGTCATATTTCACACGAAAGCTGTTATTTTCTTAATGTGTTAAAGGAACTTAAAGTATTATTTGATAAGTAAATGATGCGTTTTCATTGACTGTCATTATAGTTTCAAATAGTATTACTGAGAGAAATACCAAAAAAACATCGTTTCATATTTCACAAAAAAAGATATTTGAACGGACATTTTTTGTTTTCTTTATGTGGTGTATATATATATATATATATCCTTCAGCGCTCTCATTTGTATATAACAAGTATGCGAGCGGCTTTATCCAAACATGGGATTGAGGGTGATGATTTTGCAATGCGAGCGCAGTTCTACATCATTTAGCGGAAAATTTGGGGTTTTTTGGGGGGTAAGCGAGGGATTAATTTTGTTAATGAATTGGCATGTCAACTTTATTTTAGTCAGACATGTATAAAAAACTAGCATAAGTGGTTTATAATTGTAGCTGGGAATCCTCGCTCGATTTATATGTAACTTTAATGAATTACTTGGCCGATTTGATTAACTTTCATAATTTTACGTAGTATTTTATGTAGTATTTGAATATAGCAAACTACTAATTCATTTCTTAAAGAAATGAGGAATTTCTTTCCAGTACGTTGAAAAAATGGCTTTTATTGTATAACCTCACCATCCTAATCATTTTAACAATTTGACAATGTAACAAATTGTTCCCTGTATGAAATGTTATGGCCTTAGGGATATAAACATCTCTATCAAATATTCAATAAGACTCATCATCCTAAAAATTATGATGTGACGAGTCGGCAAAGGTTATTATTTACAAACAATTTTGCACAAATTTCATTTGTTGGGTTGCAAAGGGCGAAAACATATAATCATTAGGCGGGGAAAGTAAAGCGCCTCCGAGAAAAGGGCTTATTATTAGGAGTGGAGAAATGATGAGTTAGACAGGTATTTTGAAGTGATAGTAGTTGAGGGGAGGGAGGAGGCGACAGATTTTATGGATAAGATTTCCTACCTTTCCTCTGACTCTTTTACTTTTTACTTCTCTTTCTTTGCGTTTGCTCACGTGCTGACACCTCGAAAACTGGAAATATTCTGCTCACGGGCCCTCTCCCGTGTTTATATCACGTTATATGAGCCAATAGTCTCATTGGCCGATAGGTCGAATTGATTGACACTAGCCGGTGTTGCATAAGTAGTACTCGCCACACATTGTAAAATCTCCCTGCTCGTTGGTGCCGGTGTAACAGGAATGGACGTCCGTTAGGAACCGTAGTCCGCTTCCCAGAGCTTTGTACAGGTGACATTCGTCCCATATGCTAACCGCAATACACCAACTAACCCTAACCTGTACTAATCATATGGAAGCCCGGACTTTCATTCCTAGCTTCCATTCCAGTTAGCGTTACACCTGTCAATCTTTTGCGCGCCAGTTAAGGGAGACCCCGCATACGTTGGATTATAAACTAATTTATCCCATGCAAACGATAATTTTGTTTTTTATAATCTGCACATATCGACTAAAGAATAATTTGCTAGTTTGTGATTATATGATTTTGGTATGGCGTAAGCGGGAGTCGTCATATTCTAGTTGCAGTTTAGATGATGCGAAAACATAATCATTTAAGGTGGGGGAAGTAAACTGAACATGTACATATGCACTCTATTTATCCAACGAAGTGATTTACCTGATGGACAAATTGTTTGAATAATTTGTCCATGTTTACCCGATTATAGGATTGCATCATATGAGTGAAAATGTACACGCTGACAAAATAGTTACGTCTCAGATGTTTGTTCTACTGTCAACTGGTACATAAAACAGTTTTTGCAATGTGCACGGCTTATAATAATTACGCAATGGCGTACGTGTCGGACTTACCTGTATGAATGAATTTCACGCCAAATTAAACATCACCCGAGAGCATAAGCAGAAGTGCGTTAGCGGAGGATATCTCCAGCATTAGGTTGTTGTGTAACGAGGGGGTGTGTCTTACACAAGGCAGACGGGGCAAAGAAAAACATTTAACACTGGGATAAGCAGAGGTTGAGTTTCATTTGATTCAGTTCATACGCCGTGATACACGGTTCGTAAATCAAGAGATCGGACCAATAACCGCACTCAACGCTTGCAAGTAAAAAAATAGATGGCTGGGAAATTCGAAGAGGTTTTAGAAAAAGCTGGTAAGTGAAGCACGTCTTATAGTTCTCTGGCGAAAAAAAGAAAATAAGATATCTTGATAGCCTACTTAGATACTTAGGTACACGACGGATAACAATAATTAGAATAACACGTTTTTCGAAAATGGGGTCACGGAAACCACAGAAAGTAATTTTATGCTACTATATAGGTGTTGTAATTCAACGCTGATATAGTTTTGTCAGGTTACTCTAAAATGGCCACGTGCAATATAATACAGTGCTAAATCAATTAATTTACCCTAGTTTCTTTTTCTCTCGTTGCTGTTGTTTCTCTCCTTTTTTTTTTTTTTTTTTTTTTTTTTTTTTTTTTTTTTTTTTTTTTTTTTTGTATAGATGACCTGTTGTATAACCAGTAATGTGAACGCGCCACCTGTCGAAAGAAATGAGAAAAACAACACTAAGAGTTATGCCGATTTTGTTCTCCTTCGGTGATCATTTGTCACATATTTGACCACTGTGAAAATGCTTGAAAAGGAAGTCAAAAGTTTATAGGTAATAAAGTTTAACTAATACATACACCGTCTTCCAATGAATGTGGTTCGGGTGAAAGAATTTTTCAAATCTGAACAGTACGAACATAGAATGATTCCTCTGAAGGAGGAGCACAAATATATTGTTCTTGTAATGAAATAGAGAGTGAGAAACATTTTTTAATTAACTGTGAGCTCTATAAAGACATCAGAGAAGAGCTTTTTAACCTTGCAAATCAAATAGACGGAAATTTTAATGTTTTTAATAACTATGAAAAGTTTATATTTCTTATGCAAAACGAACAAATACAATTTTATACAGCAAAAAAAGCACATGCAATGATGTGGAAAAGAAGCAAAGTTAACAACAAAGAGAGGGTTTAAAGTTTTATTTATAATATCCTTTTTTACGTAAATAATTGATAAGTAACAATTTTAATGAACTTCTTTGAATTTTAAATGCAGTAGCACGGGTTTTAGTCTCTCATAACCCTCAGCAGGGTGGGTTTTATTTATTTAAAACGTGAGACGTTAATAAAATTATTATTATTATTATTATTAATATATTCAATGAGCAGCACGTGGCGCAATTAAGATGGGCGGGGTTATGATATATTGTCTGTCAATCAAATCCCCGATGCTTAATGCGAATCGTTACATACCCTTGGGGTGGGGGGGGGGGCAAAGATTTTGTTGTGATGTTGTATTAAATGATGCAATGTTGGTATTAAGACATGAAATTATGTCAATCACACACACACGCACACGCGCAACACACACACGCACGCACTTTAAACCGTGGTATAAGTGAAGGTCAACAGGTATATGCTCACCACAGCCACTGGAGAGAGATAGGATAAGTTTAGTAGAGCTACATGAAATTAAATAGAAGTAGCCCAATGCCTAAATATTTTCAACTAACTTCAGTACGGCCATAGCACAAATAGAACGACTGAACAACACATGCAAAACTCAAAACACGAAAAGAACGTCACAACAACACATAAAAATCTCACAACACAAAACGAACGCTACAACAACATACTGTACACAAAACTCACAACAGGAACAGGGGCGCTTTATAAACCAGGGGCATATCCAGGATTATTTGAAGAGGGGGTCTGCGGATACGAACCACCCCCACCCTGCGCGGGGTTCGGGGCCCAATAAAGGGCCCCGAAAACTTTTGGTATTTAAGAGGGCGAAAAGTGCCATTTGGAACTATGATTCAGCTCGTCAAAATTCTAAATTCAAGAGGGGACCAGAAATCGAAGGGGAGGGGGGGGGGGGTCAGGACCCCCCTGACCCCCCTCTAAATCGGCCCCTGCTTTAAACACAGAGTAGCAAATCCTACATGTGTTCACCAGGTAGCCACTCAAACTTGGTCCACTTCAGTGGTCCTTAAAAATTCATCAATCGACATTCCAGGTTACAAATTAACAAGGCATCAAAGTTGGCAAATGTACGGACAAAAAGGAGAAAATTAGATGCACAAAATCGGTTATTTTGTCAATTTTGATGCAATAATATATTACAGTTAACCGCAGAGTCAACACCAAATTATACTTATGCACAGTCAACAGGTAACACGGGTGTTAGAACAATATGTAACTAGCATTAGGCTTCAAGCCCATGAGAATTCAAATTCACACATTGAAATGGGCCAGAATGAGGAAAAAGAAAAATTCACAAAGAACAGCATGAATTTTAGAAAGAAATCTAATGAAGCTGGTTTTTCAATTTGAGCTGTATGTCAACCCTAAGAATCATTCTTGTAAGTAACAAACTAATAAGAAACACAATTTTCCTTTCATGGCATTTATGGTGGCGGTGCACAAAATAGATTTTTTTGTCAATTTTGATCACATTTTATCACATAATGATTAACAGCATAATCACCAACAATTTCAATTATATTATTTTTAAATAGATACGTCTTGTGTTCCTCTTTAAAAGTAGCTGGAGAGTCTATCCTAAGCAGACAGAGAAGTGTCCATTTAAACACCAAGATTGTTTTGCGTGAGAAGAAGTTCTGACCACACTTTCACCAATCTTGATATTGATGTTTTCTGCAATGTGTTTGTTGTGAGGCTGTGTGACGACCAAGGATTCCGTTTTGTTGTCATTTATCATTAGTTTGTTCTTTACCATCTAAGCCCTAGCATCGGAAATGCAGGTTTTCATTTTCATCAAGGAAATTTTAAGATTCTTGATGTTACAGGGAGTATACAGCTGAGTATCATCAGCGTATATGTGAAAGTCAATTCTGTCAAAGCGTGCGATTTCACTAAGGGGTAGTGTGTAGATACAGATCTGGAGAGAACCCTGTACACTTTCTTGTGGGAAAGTAGAATCAAGATCGATTCGATTTTTTCAAGATACCCGGTAGGTCTATTTATTGCAGTCCTGGTTGACGAATCAAGATTTTGTTGTACCCCATCCAATGTGGCTCCAAGGGGCATATCCAGGCTCCAAGAGGATATGTTTCACAGTCACAACTAATACTGACCAGCATTGGTCCTACCAAATATATATATGACTCTCTAAAGGGTATGGGGACCAGCGATACTTCTCTTTTGCCAGGACATGTGATGACAATCCGAACCGAGTTGCTACAATTTTTCAAACTTTTTAACATTCATGTCTGCATTAATGCCTGAGACACATAGGTTCGGAGTAATATCTCTATACAACACAGCCGTACAATTCCGTTACACTCACACCCTTCCTCTACGGTTTAACAAATCTACTTCCCCATAATTATTGTGCTGCAAAACAGCACTTAGGTATCTGAATGCTTTTTATTAACCTGTTTACAGACAGGCCATGTAAATAATTAAGGGTCGTCATGATCCTCTTTTCGTTGTTCAAATGCATTGACCATGGATTGATGCTGCACGGCTTTTACGCGTGCTTTTACATTACATGAGCCAGTTTGACTACACCTTGGACATAATTACGAAATTTTGTCCATGCCTACACCTAAGTCGTTCGGTGTGGTGACTCACTCTTAACAAAGACATTACTAATGACCATGAAGTGAACTTTACCAGTAAATCGTTATTGTTTACCCAAGCTTCACATCCTTAAAAATCCAGTCTTCAATATTTATTATTTTAGGCTTTATTAAATAAAATCTATCAATGTAACTGACACTCGCAATTATGGTTTGAAACGATATCGAGGTACACACAGACTACAAAGGCCTTTTCACGCCAATCGTTACACCCTTCCACCTATAGCAGCATGTGTTGACATATAAACCTCTTTACTTCAATTCGTTTCTGTACTGGTGCATAGACTGTCATGACCTTGTACAATATAATGTAATAACAACAATACAACTGGTGCGTTACCATTCTGTAATTGGTATTTGTGTTCCCAATATGTGACTGAACAAATACCGGGTATATACTGGGGTATCGTTATGTAATGAACTGATGTACTAGTTAAATTACTAATAAAACATTCAAGCTAAGCGGTGAGATATAACTTCATAGTGTTTACAGATTTTTCATAAACACAAATCAAGAAGCATACGGTTACAGTCATATGTAACATAATATGGAGTGCTTCAAATTTACAAGGAAAGGAGGAAGAACTACAATTCCATAGGTAAATAAATAACACATTTACACAGATATAAATACTGTGACATGGTTTAGTCCCACTGCCGAGTCACTGCTCAAAACAGTGTGACCATACACTGACAGTTTTTTTCAAGGAATAGGTTTAGAGTTACCAAATAGAGCAATTACTTCATTTCTTTTCTTTGATGATTTTTAAATAAAATTGGAAAGGGAAACTAAATTATCTTTGCTGGCTCTTAAATACTTTGCATAATTTACTTTGTGATGACCTTTTATCACCCTTTAGTATTGAGGTTTTACTTTAGAAGGTCTCTCGGTCTGTTATGTCAACAGAGCCCGGCTATTTTCTACTAGTATTGTACCCTCTATTACGACAAGAAGCCAACAGTTATTGAAAGTGATATAAAACAATAATACAAACGATGGTAATCGCTTATAAATTTGGTGACATTTGGTAGAGTGCTTTCAATTTTATTGACATTTTAAAATCATTGCAGAACAGTACATATGCACCTTGTTTTGCGTATTTTTGTGTTGCTTTCTAAGACGACATTACTGGCGCATAGAAGTTCGCCTTAATAACTGAAAAGTGTGTTCATTTCCTCTTCGACGTTCAGGCACTAGAGGACCCCTACTGACCACTGAGGAATTTTTGTCGTAGGCTATGGCTACATAACAGACATAACAACAAAAAATGTTGGTGTACAAAAATATTTTGATGATTGGAATATAACATCCGATGCTTGGCAGTAATACTTCATTATATTGATTTAAGAAACGGACTATAAGTAACACCTCAAAGAATGTAACCTACACTGGTCCTAGCAATTTTGCTGTGAATTCATCCTCAATAATAGCTGTTAAACTATTTCAGGCGGCATTGGGCGGCGACAACTAGCTATCTTCGCTGCAATTAATCTCACTGATTTCGTGACGGCGTGGACTATAATGCTGCCTGTATTCACTGGAATGATTCCTCACTGGACATGTCCTGTAACAGGACATAATCTTAACCTCACATACTCAACTAATAGAATAAACGGCACGTCAACTGTTGGAATCTACAACATAACAATGGCCGATGGAAATTCTTCCCTGGTTCAGCGAGACGTTTGCCAAAAGAATGCCACGTTTGGGATATGCGATGGCATACAGTATGTCTCAGATTTCACGTCTGTGGTAACAGAGGTAGTGATGACTTGATTATTTTTCTTAGTTAAATTATGATGTATTTTCTGCCTTCTCTACAGTGCTATTTAAACAACAATAGAATAATATTTTAAACGCCCATATTAGGCCTCATTATGTCTTTGGATTTTATACATATAGTTAAAAAACAAATAAAATTTTTTAGAGTTAATATAATTTTATTGATGTCAAATGGTCTGACCGTGAAAATATATTTGAAAAATATATCAAATTGAGAAAATTGCACGGCAAAAATAATAATGCAAAGAATAAACATCTTTGAATGGATTTCTTTTGAACTAAGTTGTTTCTATTTTGACATATACATGCTTTGTTTTCAGTGGAACTTGATCTGTGACTTAGATGAAATAAGCGACCTCATCACAACGATCCAAATGATTGGCATTGTTTTTGGGGCTTTTTTAATCAGCCATCTTGCCGATATGTTTGGTCGAAAGAAGGTCTGGATTTCGGTGGTGACCCTCAACTCAATGGTAGGGTTCGCAAATGCGTTCTCTCCATACTGGGAAATGTTTGCTGCCATGCGCTTCTTTAACGGAATGGCTAGCGGGGGTAAGTGTGAAAGGTTGGGGTACATACATGATCAGCTGTTAGTGATTATTTGAATAACTATTTACAAAACGATTTATACTTTAAATGTATTTTTAAAAGAACATCTACAACATCTATTTTTGAAATCGACGAAATGTGACGACAGCATCGTTTTAGTTGCTTTCGTGTGTATCGATTTCAGCCTTTTCATACGTTGGGCAAGTGAGACAAGAGAAATATAGTCCCAGCAATGTAGGTTAGGTTTTAGTCGGAGTATTGGTGTTAGTACATAGGACGATTGTCACCTGTACAAAGTAATAGAGAACGGACGACGGTTCATATAGGGCCTATCCTTCCTGTTGCACCGGTTTCAAAAACGAACTTGAGGTCGAACATTTTTCTGCACTTTTAGACCAACATTTTAATATTGGCCTGAAGCTTTAGACACACCTTAGTTTTTAGAAAACATAACTAGACTACTGCTGATCTATCATTGATCAAAACAGACTAAATAGATCTTTTGTGAAACAGCCTTCTAAAATGGGAACAGGAAACTATTAATCACTTTTCTCCATTTTTCAGGTTTGCTTATATTGAGCTTTATCTGGCCGCTGGAATTCATTGGGACGAAATACCGCAGTATATGCGGCGCGGTGAGCTTCTGGCAAATAGGGACCATGTGTCTTGCGCTACTGGCATATTTTGTTCGAGACTGGAGGACACTAGTAATGGTGACATCATTATTCCCAGGGGTACTGTTCTGGATATTGTACAGGTAAACTAACTGACCATGCGAGCTCTGAAAAACTACTAGGGATTATTATGAGTGATGAATTACATAAGTATAAAAATGTGCCGCTACATTACTTCTAAATTCACCAGATACAAAGGCACAAAACCATTACTCTTTTTATTTAAACTACAGTATTTAAAGACTTAAACTGGCTCAGCATTTTATGAAAGAATAGATTTTAGAAAACTTACTAATATATTAATTTCGAAATGATTTGACACCTAGGTACCCGAGTAAGTTATTTAAAAAATGAAATAGCTAATATTACAAAGAGACCAACCAAATCTTCAACTAAAGAGCAGTTATATTTGCCAGGCGGCAAGCACAAAGACTTTTTAATCAATGGGCCCGTTTGTAGTTCTATACTTTTAGGAATATAATGTTGATTGTGTCATTAGAAATTTGAAAACATAATTTTTTAAAAACGGCCTGATTAAATTTTATCAAAATGAGGACTGTTATTGTTGCAATTGTTTTAATTTGTATATATGCTTTTGTTGTTATTTTGAGTCTGAACACAATCCTTTATATTTTTTACCTATTTTAAAGATGTTTTATTTGTATACTTTTTCTCACCTCAAGAGAGCCACGGGGAAGATAAATTATATGTTTATCATTTTTTACCACCAATAAGTAAAGTTTAATAAATAAATAAATAAATAAATAAATAAATAAATAAATAAATACCGCTGGGAACTTGCCTTCCCTCAGCAGTAGTTCTGTTTTGAATTAAAGTGTTAATAAAAATAATAATAATAACATAAAACATAAATTTACTAGAGCATTTTGACATTCAAACACCAATATTATTGAAGTTAACTTAAAATACTATTTAATGATTGAAACCTCTTGCCTCTTTTCGTATGCCTAGATTTTTGCCTGAGAGCCCAAGGTGGCTTGCGATGAATAACCGTCTAGAGGAAGCTATGGCTATTTTGGAGGCTATAGCTAAGACTAACAAGAAGCCGCTTCCAGATAAGGACGTTCTGCAGAAGGCAGTAGAGGTACATACTTTAAAACAAAAATAAATTTATAATATTTGATTTATTTATATATAGCACATCAGTGTTAAATCATGTCTGAACACAATAGCCCGAGAGTTATTTTTTACCAGTGCCATATTCTCATTATAGAGGCAGTTTTTAAAGTATTACTATGGGCAGAATATGATACAGGTGAAATATATTAGAATGGTTATTCTGATAACTTTAAAATAGATCATTTTCATTTCATTTAAAGGAAGATAAGAATATCGAAGAAAAACTAAAAAAATACAATTTTAGTGATCTGTTCAGGACTCCTACGTCGACCCTTCACACTTTAGTGCTTATGTTTGTATGGTGAGTAATATTTTAGCGCATGCTCACGCGCAGGCACGCACACACATAGGAAATTAAACCATTCACAACCAAACCCCTACACGCATGGCACTTAAATATAGATGTAGCTCGAGTCAACGTACAACTACATGTATCCAGGAAGTTAAGTTACTACAGATTTAAGTACAAATACATGTATCCAGGAAGTTTAGTAACTACAGATATAAGCATAAATACAAATAAACCCATGGTTTTAAATTGATCGACAACGCTTATTTAATTATTCTTCTTGTTTATAAAATCGAGTATTAATATATTGTTTTAGGTTTGTCTGCACGTCTTCGTACTATGGTCTATCGTTAAATGTGAAGCACATGCCTGGGGACATCTACGTCACCACTGTTCTTCTGGGACTGGTTGAGTGGCCTGCGGTTCTTTCGACTACCTGTCTTAATAACGTGTAAGTAATACAGTGCTTGTTCTGGGGGTTTCAGTTCCTAAGCAAAATATCAGGCCTGCTGCTAAATTGCAGTAAATTTGCTGCAAACTGCAATTCCTTCTAGCAAATTTGCATCAAATTTGCTGAAATATTGTTGCAAATTGCTGCAAACTTTTTCATTTTGCTAAGAGATCTTATTCATTAATAAAGTAGTTGTGATTTGACCAGCAAATGTTGCGTTCCCCCCTTTCTGCTTTACAATAATGTTCAATGAAAGAGACATATCGTCTGAAGTACAGGTAGAGAAGTTTCCCCCAGCATAATTCGTCAAGATAAATGTTATTTTCCAGCAAAATGCCCTTCTTCATTTCATTTTATTTGCTCAATAAAGTTCACGTGGCTGGGTGACTGTGAATAGATATGCATTTCAGCATTGGTCGTCGACCCACGATGTTTGGTTATAACCTGATTGGAAGCCTTGCTATGCTGTCTGTCATAATCGTGCATCTTTCAGGTAATAGTCATTATGCTTTTAAAATGTAATATTTTTCGTTTACATGTAATTTTCGTTTTCATTTAAATGTATTATTTTTCGTTTACAGCACGTAATCTTAGAAGTAATTTTGTTCACCCTTTCGATACTTTTACGAAATTCACTCAGTGTCCTATTGCATCCTTACTTTACCCGTTCAGTTTTTAACAATTTAAAGGCAATACCATTATATGCCCCCGCACCTGCTTTCAAATTCCAGTTTTTTCGACAAATAATTAAGTTAAAATGTTTTGGGATGTTTAAGCCATATAATGGTTATGAATCAAATTTATTGCAGTTTATATAAATAAAGTTATCCTACACATTATACCACCATTCGAATTTTTCCTTGACATGCGTCCCCTTTTCTATCCTCTAAATTTTATTTACGTTAGGAAGCGCCAAACGTAGGGCCTAATAGTTATATTATTTTATATTTTAGGGCAAATGGAAAGCCAAGAGATCTTAATTACAGTTCTTGCGCTAGTTGGTAAAATGGGAATTTCTTCAGCATGGGCTGTTGCTTATCTTTACACAGCAGAACTATTTCCTACGGTTGTAAGGTACGTTGCTCTGCTCTGACCCTCTCTATCTCTCTCTTTCACACACACACACACACACACACACACACACACTTATTGGATTAACCGAACAACTCAAGTAAAAGTACAGCAACCGAAGGTTAAATGTAAGACTGCAAAAGGCCAGCTTGAAATGATTGCATATTTTCATGGATGTCATATATAACTTCAGGAGCATTGGTTGTGGTGCAGCTTCGATAGCCGGAAGAATAGGTGGCGTTGTAGCGCCCCAGTTTGTATATTTGGTAAGCACTATAGCAAGTAACGTTGTTATCCCTTTACACACGCTATCTACAGCGATGCCACGGTATATTTGCCAGGTTTAGGCCTATATTACCCGGTTCCAACTACAAAATGATGCCAGATTTTAACGAATAGGACTGAAGGTTCCAAGGCGAAAAAGATTGTTTATCGACGGATTGCTTTGAAAATTTAGACTCTGTAGGGAAACCATGTACTGGTCAACGCGCGTTTTGGTAAAAACTTATGTATTCAGCGACTTGACTTACACTTTAATCATCCTGGGGCTTGTTTTATTCATACCTATGCTACGACTCTCCTGTGGTCCTCAGATCAAATTCGGTCCCCAAATTCTTACATACGCACACTACAAAGGAGCTACAGGTACCGTGGTTAATTAACCCAGATCGATTTGTTTTACTGTAGGCCTACCTAGTTTTAAGTTTTTTTTTGTACAGACACAGATGTGTCTGTACATAGAGCCATCATCCGTGTCTGTCGTCACCGTTGTCGTCGCCGTGCACTTTATAACGTGTTATAGTGTTATAACGATTATTTTGCATTATGTAATAAATTGTTAAAATTGGAAAAAACTCATCGGTACAGTTATTTCTTGTGTACATAATGGCATTGTCAAGGTGTGAGTTTGAAATTTCATGGGCCTGAAGAAATTTGCTAGTCTTTGATGCCTGCAGTGCATGAATTGGCGATGATTATGCTGTTAAACAAATTACATGTATGTAATATTGCATCAGAATTGAAGAAAACCCTATTTTGGGCACTGTAGTGACCTTTTAAGGAAAACCATGTCACCTATGATTTTCAAACTTACAGAAAAGTATTATAGGGCTTAAACACAACTTAATGTGGAAAACAGCCTGATTGTATTCTTTTTTTATACATTTTTAATGAAATGTTAATTCGTCACATATTGGCATTTTCTAGGTATGACTTTGAACTTCTGTGGACTTGAAGACCTTTGCTAGTCACTATGTCACTACAAATACTTTAAAAGGAAAACTGTGTTACTTATTATCATTATGTAACTTGCCAGAATCATTGAGCAAACCAGCTTGATTGGATTGTTTTTCTTTCTTGATGTCTGTAAATTCGACAGCTTTGCTGTCTTGTTATTTTTTTGTCAAAAAGAGAGAAAATTGATTCATTATACTTACAACTTTGATCTCATGTGTTCCAGGCAAAGGTGACCCCAGTGCTTCCTTTCATCTTATTCAGCAGTTTAGGATTAGCGGCGGCTTTCACCGGCCTTCTTTTGCCAGAAACGCGCTCGAAGGGATTGTCGGACGCGCTGCCTGAATGGTCATGGTGCGGTCGTAATCGGACTACTGGCGACGATGACCGCGATGACATAACACGGCACCAAGGCTGAATTGCCGGGATTATGTTGAATGAAGGAAAGATTGCAGAGCTGGGAAAAGCTTACAAGCCTTAATCATTATCCAAAACATTGGTCATTATTTTCGGTTTTGAAACGAAACTATAACGGATGCTGAATATACTAGTTTCCTGTATTACGAAAAGTTGTTCTGATATCAAACTGGTGTTCTTAAAAAGAGATAATGATTTGCATCTGACGTCAAAACGCACAAGATATAAAGGAAAAATTAAAACTTTTTGAGTGAAAATTAATTTGTCCGATTCTGCACTGAACCAACCGGAAATCATAAAAGTATGCGCGTTGCATGTTGGGTTCAAGTTGTTTTAAAAGGCAAAATCGCCTCTGCCGTCCAGATAAAACTGTACTCTGTTAACCAAATGGTCAAAACTGGCAGTGAGACAAAACGATTTACCCAGTAAACTATAGTAGTGTAGTTAGAAACCGTGGTTGGTTACTGATTTCTGAGGTGATTGGTAATAAAAGACGAAATACAGAAGCCAGCGTTTATGATACTTAATTTTTTATTTCTCACATACGTGACAAGTCTGTCACCTAAGCAAGAACAGTCTTTGACGATCTACCCGGGGTATTTCTCTGAAGACATCTGCGTTACCAGCTTAGGGCTTCGGTCTCTCTACCATCGAAATATACCGATTCCTGCTTGCAGCAAACCCCACCAGGCGTGTCCTCTAATGAAGTAAATTGGTCAATTGTCATGATTATATTTTTATACGCTGACACGGGCTAAATGCTATTTTTACTCTACGTAAAACTTGAATATATATATTTGTGTCCAATTTGAAAACAAGATTAATAAAACTTAATACTGGGACTACATTACTTCTTATAACATTAAAATATTTTACGAGTGGAAAAGTTACATAACGCTCGGGCTGGCTGGAAAAGATTCATCTTTATTCACTGGGTGTTTGTGTGAAACGTGTGTGTGTGTGTGTGTGTGTGTGTGTGTGTGTAAGCGGTTGGGGGGGGGGGGGTAAATAAATCATAAGTTCCACTATTGTACTCATATGCAGTATAGTTGAAAAATGAGAGACAAATAAAAAACCAAATAATCCATCAGGAAATGAATTGCCCTTTTACAGGTGAGATAAATATTTATGTACAAAGACAAAAAGGTGACTGGTACAATATGTCTTGTTACCACCGAGCGGAGTATTTTGTGAAGAGCGACTTGATTTACTCTGATAGATCTACATTGTTGTAAAATAAATACTGAAGATATTTCAGTTTTTTTTAAAAATCAAATTGTGGGAGTGAAAGAATGGCGTAATCAGTCGTTTTATCTCTGCGTTTACTTGTTCAGATGAATATATATTCTTACAGCGTTTATTTGACAGCATACGTTTTGTTAAGTCTAAGATATCTCCTTGTCCACCTCTTTTTATACAATATGTCTGTCTGGCACAAACTAATTGAACAAACGTAGATAACGAGTAACCGTTTTTTTATTTTTTGCACAGAAAGATAAGGCTGTTTTTCTTTTTTTTTTAGCATAAAAGTTTCTTATGCCTTTGAAATATATCTTTCAACTGTGACTTGTAAAGTTCATCACTGGGACGGCACGTAAATTCTGAGAGTCACGTTTCACCTGTGTCAGGCTTAATTTTCATCACCGTATATTTAAGCAGCAAAGGTGAATTATGAGGAGCTACACCCCATTGTAGACCACCGTTGATCACGGCAGTACCACAAACTGTCACTCGTAAAGTTCAACGCTGGGACCGAACATGTTAGTTCTGATAGTCATGTTTCAATTGTGTCGGGCTTAATTTGCATCACCGTATAGTTAAGCCTCAAAGGTGTATTAGAAGGAGCACCCCAACGTAGATATTTTAGAGGTGTGTTCTGCGCGGCGCTACCTCACCAATCCATCCACCAACCACAACCATAATCAACAGTTACCATCAGGATTCTCATTGTTGTCACGATCGAACATGGTGAATGCCATCCTGTTCGCTGTCCACTCGGATGGATTTTCGGAGCTGTAAGTCAGTAAATCAATGACCTTTCCTGAAAAATCTCCATCAATTTGTAATCTGAAGTTACGAGTTTCGTCGACAATTCTGAAGGAACTGTACTGAGCCCAGTAATACGAGTTATTTTCACTGAAAAAAATAGTTTGTATAAAGTTCATTACCTTTTTTTAACATACATTTCGAAAAACAACACAAATGTACTAACATAAATCTTCACTAATACACACAAAAGAAAGATGAAGGTGATGTCACAATCAATATTGCAGTTCTTAAAAATGAAAATGTCTTTAAAATGTACTTCAAAATGTATTTTAGAAAATGTTTTAATGTCTGATGTTTTTCTTAGAATTAACATTTTTTAAAAATATTTATATGTACCATCCAACTTTTAGTTGAAAATAAATATTATTATTACATTTATGTCTCAGTCCAAATTATTTTCATAACTGAATGTTTATACGGGTAACTGAAGGAAACTGTACGCTAACAATCGATGTTTTTGTATGCCTTTTCTAAGGTGATGTACAGTATATTCAGATAAATGTTCTCTTACCCGTTGTCCATGCATTTCTATACGCAAACGATTAGTGGACTGTTTAGCAAGCGATAGATTGCGTCATTGTCCATCCAGAAACTTTTTGTAAGACATCCAAATCCCTCTTTATATCCTTTCCAATCTGAAATATACGTAATACATGAAAGATCCGTTAATATCAGTGTTTTATGGAGGCATGTTGCCTACGGTTCTTGCTGCAATATAGAATATCATTACTACAGTATAATTCATATACATATTCTTTGATATTCATATTACACACAGGGTCACCTCTTTTGAAATCTTCATCTCCTAAATTTCTCTGAATGACTGTCCAGCCGTCCTTACAGTAAGCAGGGAAGGTTGTAGTGGCGCCATCTGTTTGGATGTTATACACTCCTGGAGATGTCAGCCCAGATGTATAGATCTCTGTGCAATCTATTGGAACGGAGGGGAAACAAATTTTTATACAAAACAGGAAAATTGAAACGATGCACCTTTTTCAAAAAATAAAAAATTAAAGAAATAAAAAAGAAATATGAATATAGATAATAAGTATTCCTACATCTGTTCAGAGGAACAAGAGGGACAAGAAACTCTAATTTTATGCATGCATACAATTGTATATTATATAATGGTACCAGTATGAAAGAACCATTACAAATGAAAATTGTGTCATTGTTTCAGCACTTACAGTGTCTGGATGCATTTGCCACTAAAATACAAAAGGCGTTGATAGTAACGCAAGGCAATCAAACAGCACAGTAGTTCACGGAACTACACTTGTATTTTATTGAACTCTTTTAATGCTTGAGAATGATTAAAGTTCTTCACTTACCGCGTAACGCTCTTTTCCCCCGATATATACATGTACGTTCACTTTGAAAGCTTCTTAGAAAGTGTACCAAGTATAAGTGAACAATATTGAATTGAATTGAATATACATCAAATTAGACTAAACGTAAGTAATAGCAAACGACCTGAAGTAATCAAGCGTTGATCTAAAGAAAATATTCTTTTTTACCTGTAAAAAACTCTCTCTTTTTAAAGGCATATTTATATAGATACAGGTACATTTACGATATAATTATAAATTACCTTTTCGTCTGTATCATAGAAATTTTGGCTTTCTTTGTGTAGTTTTCTGTCTCACTTTACTGTAACTCTGACACCCAGGCGTCATAATAGTGGTGCTCCCATATCTCTCTGGGTCTTCGCTCGGAATTTCTCCACACCAACTTGTATCAAGTTAAAGGACTGACATCTTGGATTGGACAAATAAGCATAGGAATATTCAAGTACGCTTCCAACATTATAAATCTCCTCCGTACTTCCAATAATACAGAGATTCTGTTTGAATAACATTTTAAATTTACCTATTAACCTTTTTCATCTTTTGCGGAAATACGAAGTGCGCATGACAGGAACCGCGCGCCACAGGGGTCATGGTGGTCCTCTGCTGCATGATGTACAAGGTGCGCATATAAAAAGGTCGTATGAAGCGTGCATTGCTTTCTGTCAAACTAAAAAGGTGGCTGAAGCACAGAAATGCGTAAACTGTAGGCAAGAAACAGCTATTTGGACGGAGAATCAAGCAATAAATATTTTCTTTCTCAGTTTAAATACGATGCGCTTTACAACTACAGTAGACTTCACCTAAGCGTCCGAGCCTTGGCTGCACTTTCAATAGTGATGACGAACTAAAGCTACGGAGTTCTTTTAAATGCTTCCGATAATAAAGATATGCGAAAGAGACTCGTTATTTTTTTATATATAAAATCAAAATAGCCAGTAGACTCGTACACAGCTTTCAAGAGTGTGGACAGGTGCGCAGGCCTACGTCTTCACAATTTTGTACATGTATATATGCAAGCTGTGGCGATATCACCTCATGTACCGGCAGTGTCAATTCATTACGATTTTTATGTCTTGTTTGAAGGATATCTTAAGAGATTTTTAAAGTGATAAAATGAAAAGATTTCCTGCATTGTTTGACTCGTAACTACTGTGTATACAGGTAAAACTGACACGCAGATCGTTCGTCGGTGAACTGATTAAATCGTTTGGTACCTGATAAGGCATCAGGTGTTACTTGTTCAATTGTTCGGTAAGGCGGGCGGCCACAACTACGACCTTTCCTCTGTAATTAAAACCTTTTAAGTGTTAAATAGGTGAGACAGGAATTCTCGACTCTTTCCCAGACGATAATTAAAGTTTACCGTGTCTTACTCTAGTATATGTACAAAATTTACGACAGGTAAAAAATGTCAGCCTTTCGGTCTGACAAGTATGAAAATTTTGTCAATCTGAAACAAAAACAAAATTATAGCAAGAGCCCAAATTATTTGATTTTTAAACGTTTTTATGCGTATTTTCATCGTTTTCAATCACAGACAATTAAAACATTCAAATAAAGTGTTTCCCACACATTTCATACTTTTCAACTATCTAAGACAGTTAAATATACGTAGGCCTACTTTAATACTAAGCATATTTGTATTACTTTACAAATACGTTGTTGGATTATGTTTATTATCCATTTTGTCTTTACCATACATGTATTATGTACGTGTAGCTTACAGAAAGGCTTTTCTGCATTTTTTGTAAAAATATGCCCATTGAATTTTCCAATTCTCTTGTCATTGAGTTCAGAAATAAATAACTTTTTATTTCGCCGATAACGCGTTCAACAAGAGCCGATGTACTTTCTTCTTCGTATGTCTCTGTTGATCTTGATAATATGAGCCCCGTTTGTACAAATCAGTAATACGTATACGGGACTGAATACATAATAATAAAAATTTTATTAACGTCTCACGTTAAAAAAAATAGAACCCACCCTGCTAAGGGTTATTAGAGACTAAAACCTGTGATGGACCTACAACATTTAAAATGATCACTTATCAATAAAACACACACAAAAAGAATATTACATACAAAACTTTTCAAACCTTCTCTTTGTTGTTACACAAAAAGTCGTGACAGTTCTTGAATTTTTTGTAAGTAGAATCCCCGTGTAAAACACTTCAAAGCTTTTACTTTCTTTTTCCATAATCTCATGCTTGAAGTCTTTTCTTAATTTTATTAAAGCACCGTTGATCTCCTAGTATTATAGTTTTTCTTCCCGCCTTCGAAATGTTCAGCGCAAACGCGGTGCCCTGCTTTTGATCCAAACTTGCTATATTTTCCTTTCTTTCTACCATATTTTTCATTCTAACGGGTTTGTTGGGAACTTATTAAACCTCATGTGTCGATCTCGCTTACTGTTATTGTAGTAGCGGGACAAAAAGCACGTAAACCCAGCCATGGTTTTAAGCACCGCTGTAAGTGTTTCGACGTAGCAGGGCTCCCCTACCCACAATGCAATTTCCATTTCCGGAAAAGATGAAAAAGGCTAATTCGTACCTTTTTAGAGGACGCAAAGCCATTTATCAAAATGCTAATATACAAGATTGGCGAAATAACTGTCCACATTTTCATTTGTGTCTGACATTTTAGTTTTAGAAAACGTTCAGTATTCTAAAATGAACTTCATTCCCGATCTACAAGTATTTCTTAGGCAGAAACAGAGAGCTCTGTGCTTTTACCGGTATGCTGACGGTCGATTTCGAACAGTGACCTCATACACTAATAACGAGAAAGAGTTCTACATCATTTTTCATGGGCACGCAGGGGATTAGGAACTTCAATTACTGTAGTTCATAGTGCATGTATAGTCAAGAGGAAAGGCCTACTCAATTATGCTTTTCTAAATACGGTCTGTAGCAAAATTAAATACAGCTATGGGGATTCGGGTCACCAGTCCTTAGGAATCCCTTTGTTCAAACCAAAACTCATTGGCCTAATCTTATTTTGCAAAAAACTTGTTATTTAAAAATGAATTGGCTTCACTTTACGTTTCAAAAATATTTTGATGAATAATTATTTTTAAATCTTTTAGAGTATTTATGAAGAACCGTCTTAGTTTATAAGAACTTATGGTTGATTTAATTTCTTTTAACATTGTGCAACCAGAATCTTCGGGTTGCAATTTTACTGAACTAACTATTTTATAAAGATTAAGTACTGGTGGACCCAGCGTTTCACTATATATATATGTGTGTGTGTGTGTGTGTGTGTGTGTGTGTGTGTGTGTTTGGGGGGGGGGGGGAGGCGGACACAAGGATAACAAAATACAAAATAGCCTTGTCGTTAACGTTAAGAAAATATTAAAAATAGCAAGTGCAAGTGAAATTTAAGTAGTTTATTTTATATAATACACGCAGGTGAATATATGTCAACGATATTTTGTATTTACTGCAAGTATTGAGCATTTGGTTGATAGACTGCTGTTTTTGTGTCTGGAAACTAGCGTCTAAAAGTCTGCAAGGTCAAGGAAGCATTGGATAAAAAGACGATCGTCCCTTTTAAAACAATTTGAACCCAACGTGCAACGTGTATTTTAAAGAAAGATGCAACAATATCGGAAACTAGCATATTGAGCATTCGTAATATTTTGGTTTCAGGGATGAATTTTTGAGTAATTATTTAAGATTGTAAGCTTTTCTTAATTTAACAGTATCTCGGCGATTTAGCCTTGGTGCGTATTATGTCGTCCAGTTCATTGCCTTCACTTATCATATTACCACTGCACTATGGCCATTCAGGCAGCGTTTCTGGCAAAAACATGTTCTGTTTTTCCTGGATTTTATAAAAACAGCAAGTGTTAACAGTACATAAACTTGTGAAAAATCGAAAGATTTTGTTTCTTATTTGGAACAGTTATGCCACATTTAACTAACAAGCATTTACATTATGTCATTGAAGTAATTTGATCAGATCACAATTGCATGTGTCTGGCCTTTTGCCAATCATGAAAAAACATTTATAAGACACTTATAAATGGTTCTAGGGCATTATTAGTATTGTTAAATGGGTGGGCATTTATTATTTAAATTCATTACTTTGAAGAGACTTTGGTTTCTAATTTTGGGGTCTCAGCCTGAATTAAAAAATTGAATTTAAGAGTGAGGATTAATTGTACATCACTTCAATGATGTAGAGTATACAAATCACCCGTCCCCCGGGGCTATACGTCACCGTACTTTGTATATTTATCAAAACCTTATAATTAAATTAATTTATTGGTTGAACCAAGAGCAAACACAATAAGATACATGAAAACACAGTAGTAACAGCAGTAAAGTAGTGATGTATGGAACGTTTTGTACATGTTTATGTCTATAGGGGCCTGGATAATACTGATTCTCTGAGCTAAACCTATTTTTTTTAATAGAGTGCCATATCCTGAGGTTTATTTAGAATAAAATCTACCAATGTTTTAGATAACTCCTCACAAGTAGGGCATACACCAAAGCGAAACTACCAAAGGAGATGGGTAAATTTATTTCGGTTTAATTCATCCCAGTTATGATTTTTTCGCCCAAAATTACATAGTAAAAATTACAGTGTGTAACCACATATAGGGCAAAGAAAGCCTGAAACTAGGATTTAAGGGCTAGAGTGTAAGAAGCTTGAGTGGCTTAAAGCACACGGATTTCTTATTGGCGACTGGAAATGTGCACCACACTCCAATCGTCTTTATTCACTGTGTGTGTGTGTGTGTGTGTGTGTGTGTGTGTGTGTGTGTGTAAGGGGTAGGGTGGGGGGTAAATAAGTCATAAGTTCCACTATTGTACTCATATGCAGTAAAGTTGAAAAATGAGAGACAAATTAAATAAAAAACCAAAAAATCCATCAGGAAATGAATTGCCCTTTTACAGGTGAGATAAATATTTATGTACAATGACAAAAAGGTGACTGGTACAATATGTCTTGTTACCACCGAGCGGAGTATTTTGTAAAGAGCGACTTGATTTACTCTGTTAGATCTACATTGTTGTAAAATAAATACTGAAGATATTTCAGTTTTTTTTAATCAAATTGTGGGAGTGAAAGAATGGCGTAATCAGTCGTTTTATCTCTGCCTTTACTTGTTACGATGAATATATATTCTTACAGCGTTTATATGACAGCATACATTTTGTTAAGTCTAAGATATCTCCTTGTCCACCTCTTTTTATACAATATGTCTGTCTGGCACGAACTAATTTAACAAATGTAGATAACGAGTAACCGTTTTTTTTTTTTTTTTTTTTTTTTTTGCACAGAAAGATAAGGCTGTTTTTTTAAACATAAAAGTCTCTTATGCCTTTGAAATATATCTTTCAACTGTGACTCGTAAAGTTCCTCACTGGGACGGCACGTAAATTCTGAGAGTCACGTTTCACCTGTGTCAGGCTTAATTTTCATCACCGTATATTTAAGCAGCAAAGGTGAATTATGAGGAGCTACACCCCATTGTAGACCACCGTTGATCGCGGCACTACCACACCAATTCATCCACCAACCACAACTAAAATCAACTGCACAGTTACCACCAGGATTCTCATCGTTGTCACGATCGAACGTGGTGAATGCCATCCTGTTCGCTGTCCACTCGAGTGGATTTTTGGAGCTGTAAGTCAGTAAATCAATGACGTTTCCTGAAAAATCTCCATCAATTTGTAATCTGTAGTTACGAGCTTCGTCGTCAATTCTGAAGGAACTGTACTGAGCCCAATAATACGTGTTATTTTCACTGAAAAAAAGTAGTTTGTATAAAGATCATTACTTTTTTCTACAGACATTTCGAAAAAAAACACAAATGTACTAACATAAACCTTCATTAATACACACAAAAGAAATATGAAGGTGATGTCACAATAAATTACATTAACAGTTCTTAAAGATGAAAATGTCTTTAAAATGTATTTTAAAATGTACTTTAGAAAATGTTTTAATGTCTATGTTTTTTTTTTTTTTTTTTTTTTTTTT